CTATTACAGTTCTGCTCAACCTCTTATTTGGAAATTTACGCGGGTGTGGAAGCAGTCCAAAATGTGTCTGCAAAAGTAGAGATAGAAGGTACGCTGCCTTCCACTTCCTACATTACAGATTCTTCTTTTAGCTAATTTAGCCTTACCTTAACATGGATTTGGATGGAGCAAATAAACTTGAAATATAGGGGGTGTACTCAAATGAGATTTTAAAATATTTTAAAGAAGTTTAATAGTGCAGGTGCATTCAATCACGATTTTATAGAAGTCTATATCATTATTGGTGAATTCAATTTAGACTTTTTAAACTCCATTCAAATTTGGATGTATTCAATCACGATTTTAAAATACTTCATAAAAGTTTGGGTGTATTTAAAAATTCATTGATTTTAAAAGGAATACAAAAAAGTGGTGGATTTCGTTTGATTATAGACTAATTTTAGACCATGACAAATCTTTGCTTCTCCCCAAATATTTTGATAGATATGTTGACGCCCAAAATGAGATTCAATTTAGATAGATGTGGAGTGGTGGATGATGTGTGAAGACATGAGCTTTCAGCACGTGTATGTGCCTTCGGGAGGCAAGGCAAGAAACTGCCTTTGGCAGTCAGTGACGTTTAGCATAAGTAAAGTAAATAAGCATGCAAAAGACAAGGTATATGTGATTCATCCGAATGATGAGTTACGTCCACAAAGAAGGATGTTCTCATTATGATAATGTTTGTTTACATTTGTATAAGGGGATTAGACCCAAAGATAAAGGGAAGAAGGCCCAAGGCCTAAGGTACAAAGCCCAAGAGTCCAAGGCCCAAGGGTCAAGACCCTTTTTCTAAGTAAAGAGTGGTTTTCTTTTCTAAGTGAAGATGAGTCTCCACCTCTTGTAGTTTTCCAATGTGGGACTCTTGACATTGCTCCTAGTTGTGACCTGTGGCAATGCTTATTTGGCTAAGGTGATGATTTCTCAAAGCAGGGCACGTGGTTGATCTTGCTTATCTAGTTGCTCGGTTAGTCACGGTATCAACAGTAGTCCCCCAAGTTCGCGAGTAAGAAGGTACTTCTTGCTTGGGGATTTGTAATTTTAAGTGCATTGCCCGAGAAACACCGTAGTTCATCTTCCAAGTCGTATAGTGCACTACCCACAGTCCCCCAAGTCCCTGGGTAAGAAGGACATTGGAGGGAGAGAACTTGCAACAAAAAACCAAGTGGTTTGCAAGTCCCCAGTTTGTTATGCAAGAGTGTCGAAGGGCATCATAGTACACCAAAGGGCGAGGGGTGCCGAAGGTACAAGACTTGCATGTCGCAAGACAAGGTGCTGAAGGGCACGTGACAATTTAGAGTCTTTATGAAAAAGTCTGCCTCTCTTCATCGAGAATCCCCCATTATATGGACAAAATACAAGCTAATTTAGGAAAGAATACAGGCCGATCTTCAGCCCCTAAAACAGCTAACCTGCCATATATACATCTATCTAATTATAGTTTATTGCTAGTATATCCTAATTAAGGAAAGAGTAAATCTGTATAACCATAGCTGTCAAAGCTGTCCAAGGCATAGAATCTGCTGGCATTAAATCTGTATAACCTATAAATATGTATAACCATAATTGTCAAAGCTGTCCAAGGCATAGAATCTATTGGCATTAAATGTGTAGTTATTTCCTTTGACATCCCCCCTCAAATTGATTCTGGTAAATCGACATGCCAACGAGGAAATGATGGCGTTGACGTGGCATGGATTTGGTGAAGATATCTGCGATCTGTAGACTCGTGGAGATATGTGGAAGGGTGATAACCAGATGATAATAGGCTTCCCTGATTGAGTGACAATCAACCTCAATGTGCTTGGTGTGTTCAGGATAGACGAGGTTGGCTGCAATTTGGATGGCACTAGTGTTGTCAGCATGTAGTTGAGCAAGATGAACTGGACAGAAACCGAGCTCTATGAGGAGACAATGCAACCAAATGATCTCGAAGCATGAAGCAGGCATGGCTCGGTACTCTGCCTCAGTAGATGATTTGGAGACGTGGTCCTGCTTCTTGCATTTCCAAGATATAAGGGCATCACCAAGAAACATACACCAGCTGGTAGTAGATTTCCTGGTGTCTGGGCAACCGGCCCAATCAGTGTCACTATAGGCTTGTAGCTGAAGTGAAGAACATGTAGGAAAGAATAAGCCATGACTAGGTGTGCCAAGAATGTAGCGAATTATGCGGCGAACAACCGATAGATGGAGATGCCTCGGAGCTTGCATGAACTTGCTGACGATGTGAACAACATAAGAAATGTCTAGTCGAGTAATGGTTAGATAAATAAGACTACCAACCAGCTTCCGATAGATAGTAGGATCCTCAAGAAGATCCCCTTCGTCACGTCGATATTTCACATTAAGTTCCATGGGGGTGTCAACCGAAGTAGTGTTGGTGAGGCTGGTTAACTGAACCAGATCTGGCTATACTTGTGCTGATGCAAGAAGAAACCATGAGGCTGATGATGCACCTCTAAACCCAAGAAATAGGTGAGCTGGCCAAGGTCTTTCATGTGGAATGTAGAATGCAACAAAGTCTGAACCACAAAGATTGCCTCCAAGTCAGAGCTAGTGATGACGATATCATCCACATAAACAAGGAGGACAACGATACCCATAGATGTCCTTTGTAGAAAAAGGGAGGAGTCATACTGACTTTGAGTGAAAGAAAAACCAAGCAAAGTGGATCGAAACTTTTCAAACCATACTCTCGGTGCCTGCTTCAAACCATACAAAGAATGTTTCAGTTTGCAAACATCATTAGGTGAGTAAGTAGGCATACCAGAGGGAAGTTTCAAGTAAACTTCTTCCTTGAGATCACTGTGGAGGAATGCGTTCTTGACATCCATTTGATGTAAGGGCCAAGATTGGGATGCAGCAAGGGCAAGTATAGTTCAGACAGTGGTCATTTTGGCGACTGGTGCGAAGGTCTCATCATAGTCGAGACCATATTCTTGTTTGTTGCCAAGTGCCACTAACCGAGCCTTGTAACGGTCTATGGACCCATTGGAACGAAGCTTGATAGAAAACATGAACTTACTACCAAGGGGTTTCACGGAGGAGGGACATGGAACAACATCCCAGGTTTGGTTTTCTTCAAGTGTGAGAAGTTCGGTTTCAACAGCTTTCTGCCAACACTGATGCTCCATTGCCTGTTTATAAGACGAAGGAAGAGAAATAGAAGACAAGGTGGCTGTGAAGGATGAAGGAGGAGAGAAACCAAGCCTATCTAGGGGTCTACGAACCAAAGTACTGTGTCTGAGAAGGGGAGGTGCAGTTGCTGGAACAGGAGTAGCAGTCGGGGAAGGAGCTTGAGGGGGCTCGGGAGGTGCTGAAGGCTGGTGGGAAGTGGCAGAAGAGCATCGTTGATACACTAGAAGAGGCTTAGAAAGGACTGGAGCTACAGAAGAGTTAGTAAACATAGGCAAAACAGAAAATGAAGGAGAAATGGGATACTGATGCGTGGAAAAGAAATATTGGTTTTCTAGAAAGATCACATTTCTAGAAACTCGAATGCGACGCAAATTTGGATCATAGAAAAGAAAACCTTGAATCGACTGAGCCGTGAGTTTTGTGTGTTTATGTGTAGGAAGATGAACATAACAGACACAACCAAAGGTACGAAGGTTAGACTAAGTTGGAGGGTGACCAAATAACCTGGTGAAAGGAGAGTCATGGTTCAATGTGGGAGAAGGCAATCTGTTGATGAGGTGGACAGGAGTGGAGAAAGCTTCACACCAAAATCAAGAGGGCATAGATGACTCTAACAGAAGTGTGCGAACAACATCAAGAAGGTGACGGCTCTTCCTTTCGGCCACCCCATTTTGTTAAGGTGTTGAAGGGCAAGACCGTTGAGAAATGATGCCATGATTCTGTAGGATGTCTTGAAACAAATGAGACATATACTCACTCCCATTGTCAGAACGAAGGATTTTGATATGGGTTGAAAATTGGGTCCGAATATATGCATGAAAAATCTTAAAAACATAAAATACTTCGTCTTTAGAATGAAGGAAATGAATCCATGTGAAACAGTTGTGGTCGTCAATAAAAGTGACAAAGTACTTGTAATTAGCATGAGAATCAACATTGTTTGTCATATGATGGGAAGCCCCAGAATCAAAGTACCAAGGAGATGATGTAGAGAAGGGTTTACTTGAGAGTCCAAAAGATGAAAATGCAGAAATGATCAATTGTTGAATCATGTCAGGGGTCACGGGTTGGACAGGAGTAGGAGCACTTTGTGTCAGAGGTGTTGTATTCACAGAACTACCAGCACTAGAAGAGCCAACTGAGACAATATATGTTGTCTCTGATTTCTTGGGGGGTCGAGTAGGGCATTCCTTGATGATATGGCCATCCTTTTTGCAATAGTTGCAGAATTTTCGGAGACAATTTGTAGCATAATGGCCAAATCCCTTGCAACAGAAGCATTGAACAGTGCTGCATAGGCCACATGAACAGATGTAGATCGTCGTGGTTCCATGATGGTTTGAGTGAGAAGGCGTTGTTCCTCACGAAGGAGATCATTGAGACATGTATCCAAAGAGGGGATAGATTCTCGATTCATAAGATTGGATCTGGTGCCTTCAAATTCATGTCTCAGTTTCATTAGAAATTGATCCCTCTGAGTAGTTTCATCGACAAATTGAACAGAACTAAGACCTTCATATGGTAAGCCAGCATAAACTATATCAGTGTATTCAGCCCAAAGATTAGTGAATCTAGAGTAAAAATCAGAGATAGAAAGACTATCATGTTGGAGAGTGGCCAATTCATGTTCAAGTTGGAACCAACGAGCAACGTTTTGTTGACTATAGATCTTCTTCAGGTAAGTCCACATATGAGCTGCAGTCTGAGAGGATTGAAGGTTCAAAATGATGTTGGGTTCGACAGATCCTAAAATCCATGCCATAACTTGAGCATCCTTGACTTCCCACTTGGCGTGCTGGTCTTTGTCTTTGTTTTTGTCAGGAGTTGGGTTACTTCCATCAACATGTCCCCACAGCTCCTTAGCTTTGACGAAAATCCTGAAGTGAAACGCTAAGTAGAGTAGTTCTTGCCATTGAAACAAATCAAAGAAACATCAGACTTATCTGAAGACATGAGGTCAAGAGAACTTGATCAAGAATAACCGAGACTAATGAACTTGAGAGCAAGAGACAAATGACAATTTAGAGCTGTAGCTCTGATACCATGACAATTTAGAGTCTTTATGAAAAATTCTACCTCTCTTAATTGAGAACCCCCCATTATATGGACAGAATACAAGCTAATTAGGAAAGAATACATGCCAATCTTCAGCCCCTAAAATAGCTAACCTACCATATATACATCTATCTAATTATAGCCTACAGCTAGTATATCCTAATTAAGGAAAGAATAAATCCGTATAACCATAGTTGTCAAAGTTGTCCAAGGCATAGAATTTGCTGGCATTAAATCCGTATAACCATAACTGTCAAGGCTGTCCAAGGCATAGAATCTGCTAGCATTAAATGTGTAGTTATTTCCTTTGATAGCATGTAGGTGCCGAAGGCTCAAGACTTGCATGTCGCAAGACAATGTGCTGAAGGGCATGGGGTGCCGAAGGCACTTGCATGAAACTTGTCGAAGGCATAAGACTTGCATTTCGTAAGATAAAATGTCGAAGGCATGAGTGTGCCGAAGGGTAAGGGGGTGCCGAAGGAGCAAAGCTTGCATGTTGCAAGATAAAATGTCGAAGGGCATAGGGTGCCGAAGGCACAAAGCTTGCATGTCACAAGGTAGTGTGTCTAGGCACGAGGGTGTTGAAGGTGCAAAGCTTGCATGTCGCAAGGCGGTGTGCCTAGGCACAAGGGTGCTGAAGGCGCAAAGCTTGCGTGTCGCAAGACAAGGTGCTAAAGGCATAAGACTTGCATGTCGCAAGATAAGGTGCCGAAGGGAATACTTGTGCGTCACAAGGTGGTTGCTGAAGGGCATACTTGTGTTTTGCAAGGTGAGGTGCCGAATGGAAAAAGGGCGCCAAAGTCATTTGCATGTCGCAAGGAAATTGCCAAAGGGTATGAAACTTGGCAAGGTGCCGAAAGGCACATGGTGCCAAAGGCATTTGCATGAAACTTGCATGTCGCAAGGAAATTACTGAAGGGCAAGAAACTTGGCAAGGTGCCAAAAAGCACGAGGTGCCGAAGGCATTGGCACAAACTTGCATGTCGCAAGGAAAATTGCCAAAGGCATGAAACTTAGCAAGGTGCCGAAGACATTTGCATGTCGCAAGGAAATTGACAAAGGGTATGAAACTTGGTAAGGTGCCGAAAGGCACGAGGTGCCAAAGGTATTGGCATAAAACTTGCGTGTCACAAGGAAAATTGCCAAAGGGCATGAAACTTGGCAAGGTGCTGAAGGGCATGAAGGCATTTACGTGTCGCAAGGAAATTGCCGAAGGGTATGAAACTTGAGTAGGTGCCGAAGGCATTGGCATAAAATTTGAGTGTCGCAAGGAAAATTGCCAAAGGGCATGAAACTTGGCAAGGTGTCGAAAGGCACGAGGTGCCGAAGGCATAGGCATGAAACTTGCGTGTTGCAAGGAAATTGCCGAAGGGTATGAAACTTGGCAAGGTGCTAAAAGGCACGAGGTGTTGAAGACATTGGCATGAAACTTGCATGTCGCAAGGAAATTGCCGAAGGGTATGAAACTTGACAAGGTGCCGAAGGGTATGCAACTTGACAAGGTGCCAAAGGCATTGGTATGAAACTTGACAAGGTGCCGAAGGCATTGTGTTAATGACTGAAATATTTTGCTCCCAAAGGTCACGTGGTGTTTTTTGCCGAAGGGCAATTAAGAACATTCACAAGGTATTGTTGAAGTCGTTACACTCTCAATGTGCTCTTTCAGAAGCTTGTGGTGGGTCAAAAGGTTGGGTTGAAGGTCCATTGAAAATTACATATCCGTTGGGCCCGCACATTTTTGTTTTTTCGGTTGTGACTCACTTTGCTGAAGATCCCTCAAGGCCCATAACAGCTACCTTTTTTTGTTTATTTTTGGTTGTTTTGTTTATGTTTTGAATTGACGCCCACCCATATTTGATAGGGAAGAAGAAACGTTTTGGCTTTAGAAAAGTGGGAGATGGCTTGGTTGATATAGATGGTTTGGGGGCTCCGCTGCAAGCTCCGTCTTCGACCTATCGATCGATTGGGTAGGCGTGATTCTCTCCATGATAGGTAGTTAGACTTTCCGATCGGCAAGTTCGTTATCACTCAATTGGAGATGGTGTGGAGGTTGGCCAATTCCTTTGGTCTACAGCCTACCGATTGGTAGGGTCATTGCCAATGGTTTGGAAGGTTGTTGTGCGAGCGTCTGCTGTACATTCGGCACAATGCTCGCCGAACGG